ACAACATCAGAGCAGATGTGATGATGAAAGATTTGAATTTCTTTTTACCGCTTCAACTGATCGATCAAATAAAAATACCCTTGTTCTCAGTCAGCACCAAACTGTTTCCCAGAACACACCGGACTAAACCGGCTCTGGTCTCAATGGTTATCCGGTGACTGGAAACGCTAATTGAAATGAACTTATTTTCGGGCAAACCTGATTCTGGAACCTGAAGTTATGTGTTTTCTGCTGTACCGGCGAGAGGAAAAAAGGAATAATGCTTCACATTTGAAGAATTCGGCTTATAAAACTAAAGTTGAGTAAAGAGTGCTGATTGAAAATTCAAGAATGGTTCCAAATAATGGGGATTACCGGTGCATTGGAGAGGGGGGGAACTGGTGCTCTATTTGTATTGTATTTTATTGTAATAACTTCTGCAAGCATGAAACCCACATTTCAGTTTAAAAAAATATACAGTTCGGGGCAAGAGAGGAAATGAAAATAACAATGAAAAAGAGATTTCAGTTCCAATACTGTTAACAAATTCTGTGAAAACCTGTTCTTTGTTAACAAGAATACGTGCGAATGAGGGTAATGACGGGTTACGATAAATGTTTATTCTAGAGGGAACACAACGATATTTTGATCTAGTTGAGGGATGGGAACAACAGGAAGTTAGGCCAACGTGTAGCGGATGTGTGGAGTCGATGAGAATCTTATGCGCCAAATGTTCTTTTGTTGATCACTCGAAAACACACTACTGCTCCAAAGCATGCTCTGTGTGTGCCCAAAGTTCCGTCATGCTCAAATGTTCTCATCTTCGGTCGTTCTAAACTTATCAGACATTGAAACATATACTACTGAGTCTTTATTTCTAGTGACCTTTGATGGCATCAGATTCACCTTTGTTGCTTCAAACTCATTAGTTTTGTCAAACATGGATGTTTTGGTCCTCGATATGAGAAACCTTGAGGAAAATAGTTAGAAACTCGTGTCCTTAGTCACTTTACACTAGGACTAATGATGTCATCAAACATAGCCAATGAGAAGATCTGTTCTCTGTTCGGTTTGTTTTGTACACTTGGGAAATGGATTCGTGACATCACATTTCCGTTTTTCTTTTATAGAATCAATCAAAAGTGTGCCCTTCAACTCACTTGTACTGAGCATCTTTTTCCTTCAACTGATCTTCCAGTTTGAAGAGCTTCTGGTGAAGTTGTCGAAATATTCGGATTGTCTGCAATCGATTGTCACCCAGGCTTTGTAACAGTTTGGCATTCTTGAAAGAGAATTCGGCAGTTTAACACACATGAACAACCACCTACTTCTGCAGGGTCTGTCAGACTGGCTAATTCCTTATCTTTTTTACTCAATTGATCATTCAATTGACGACATTTGGACTTGAGCGACTCATTTTCAGCATTCAGGAATGAAATCCGCTGTGCAGTTGAATAAGGTGGACAAGAAGTAGTGGAGATCAATTGGAACTGTTCAGTGAGATTGGCTTGGTAAGTTAGCAAAAACAAGTTGTGTCAGAATTATAACAGCAAAATAATTCTGATGGTTTCAATTGGTGTCATTATTGGTTGTAAAATGACAGGTTTAGTAGGCCTGTGCTTGGTAGGTCTTTCCATACACCAGGATTTTAATCGTAGAAAATATATGCGGTTTTTTATGAATTGAACCTGGCTTTTGAAGCCCGGCGCATATGATTCCTGTATATGCATGCGTGTTTGTAAGTGAGGTGTTAATTTTGTCCGGTGAATCTATTAGCTTGCTCTATTGTGCGTTGAATTTCGCTTCTGTTTTTTCACGTACTCATGTGGTTGATAGATTAAGATGGGATCGAATGACCGAATAAAAAGATGAGATAAGGTACGTAATGCAAATGCTCGAAGTAAGTGAGCAAACCAATCGTGAGATCCCAAATCTCCTCCTGTCTCATGAAAAACTCTGCCGAAAAAACATTTCCATCATGAACCTGATCACTGTTATTAGTTTACAAAGCAAAATCAAACAAACCGAGTGTGTCTTATCACGGTCAACTTAATAATTTGTAAAAACACGGCGTGAATTCAAGAGGGATTAAGCCTATTTGAAGGTAGGAGGGCTGAAAGAAAATGAACCATGTGACCAGTCCATAATACACAGTCTAACAACGCACAGACACGCCTAGATGGGGGCCTCTGGATCCTTCTTAATCGACTGTTAGAGACACTGAGTAATATGGTTGAGTGTCGTAAACAGTGGAACTCGTGACAGGACTTAATGTCCTTGCAACTTCCATCTTCATTAGTTCTTTATTATTTATCCGGACATTGATATGAAATTTCCCGTCTTCGTTTCTTTCCTGTATACCATCGAAAGCTATGAGAAAGCAACCAAAACCGCCGCGTGAAAGTGCAAGGCTGCTGACTGTAAAAACTGAAACTGAACAGAAATTGTATAATCAATGTGCCCGAGGTGTTTCGTCCTCTGTATGGGTCAACAGAACGTTATCTGCAGAGGTCAAGTCTTTTCTCCACAACCCCTTTTTTGGTCAAATAAACAGTTTGTAAAACCACTGTCATTATCATGGCCATACACTCAGAATCTAGGGACGTAGCCTCCGTTTATGAATTGCCTCATTTATTCGCCACGCACCTCTTTATAACCACTCTCCCTCAAACACCTTCCACACGCACACACACACACACACACACATAGATACACACACCAGGCATAGCAATTAGTAGAATCATATCATCTCTTTTCAAACTCTAATTGCCTTCACAGATGTGGGCTTCCTGTTACTACTATTATAAATTATGCTCTTTTTAACCAATTAGTATAGCACCGAAAACAATCTTGTTGGCTAACTTGTGTTCTCATCACCACGCAATCGGGAATATTTATACAACCTACATTTACTCTGCCTAGTCCTTCTTGTTTTTTCTCCTATTACGCAGCGACTGTTTATAAGGTAAATTAGGAACACGACTGATAAGCATTGACGACAGACATCCTAATCAACGAAGTTTCACATCGTGAGAATTCGGTGTGACTCGAAACTGAAGACAATACAATCTTCTGTTTTTTCGAAGATATTCTTTCATTTTCGTAATTTAAAAGCGCACATGATCTATTATTGTGAAAATTGCTATCTGGTAACTTTCAGAGAGCCCAATTCTGGAAAACCCCTTATTCATACAAGACTACTCGTTCCCAGGGGATTCCTCAGACATAATCTTTATTATTTTAATCAGCTCTTTTACGTTCATTTGGCCCCTTGGTGACTGCAAGTACTGCCAAAGGCTGGTATGAAGAAGATTACTTATGCTTTGGCCTCTGTTAGTACAGCCTGGTTGGAGCCGAAGGGATAAAGATTGCCATTTAAAGAAGTGTGGCCCAGAATAGAAGCCAGTGGCACGAATGATGTGCGGTCTGTCAGTTGAAACTCCGTGCCCCATAAAAAGGCTGAGAACTAATAAACAAATTATAGAATCAGGTTCATTTTAGCCACAACGTGAATACCAAAACACAAGATTTCGGTTTTTGGTATCCACGTTGTGGCTAAAACAAACCTGATTCTATTGTTACCATGAGCACAACGCCCAAATTTTTCGAAATGATCAGGAACATCTATGGATTATTAACTGTTTAATAAACAAATTTATTGAAATATCCCCACTGATCATTAAAGAGACCAGTAGAGCGTAGAACTCTTTCCGATTACTAATTCTCAAGCTTCTACATTACTATACAATCACACGGCAGCAACAAAATTCGTGATTCATAAAATAAACCGAGGTGAGGGAGGGGTCACAGGATTGTTATCAGTTGATTAAGCTGATTACGTAACACGTTCAGTCATCGTTTGATTTTCTGAACAATGATCAATTATCTCATATCGCCCGGCCATGGCATAATCAATCTGTGAACAACCTGCTTTTGTTTGCACAGTGTGGGGTGGTGGATATGAATGGCTATCCATTCGGCCATATAAAACAATCTGCCTCAGTTGTTTGAGTAGATTCACCGGGGTTTTGTAGATGAGCTTAAAAAACTTTTCACGTAGAAGCTTGAGGATGAGTAACCGAAAAGAATTTTTCCGCTTCGCTGGTCTTTTCAATAATACACCAGTGTCCAATGTTGTATGGTGAAATAAAACAAAAGATTGTTATTCTTATAATTGTTATCCGTTGTTCTTTGATCATCTCTAATTCACCCGATTTTATATCCCGTCCTCTGGTATTATCTTTATTCGGTCTTGCCGTGCTTGTTAGCATGACTTTATATACATATCCATAAAGGGGAAATCCTCCTTTGGAAACTCACAAAGGAATCATAGTCTGACCCGCTAAGCAGCAATAAGTTATATGAACATCATCCATCCATTGGGGCCGGTGTCCAGTTCATTGATGACCACTGCTACAACCAAAAAAGTGTAGTTTACACGCTTCTTCTTGGTTAGTTCGGAATCAGAGGTTTTGTCCACTTCTACCAGGTAAACTCCAAGTGGTTCCTGTGCCAGCTTATAACCTCAGGTGTTGTTTTCTCCAATCGGCAGGAAAACACTTCCACCCGGGGGAATGCAGTGTGTAAGGCTCCCTTAGCAGATATTATTTCAGATACTTGGTTATGTGGGGCGGATTCCTCCTGAATCCCGTAACCAAATCCGAATTTATAAAGAAATCGAATCAAAATACCTGGTGAGTATATCAGAAGAAAAGGTGGCAAACATTCTCGGTTTGGTAACCGACTGTATTGTATCTTATTTCACGAAAGCATGGGGCCAAACTGCGTGCTACGTTCCATGATTTGTTTGCGCGCGGAATGCTATCAGATTCCCAAGGCCAAGGCAGGTGAATTTTCTTGGGGAGTTCAGAAACGGAGCTTTTGGCTATCCAAAGTTCAACCTCAAGGTAGCGAAGCGGTGTGAGGAAACGCATTTCATTAGGTACCGGTGTCCAGTTCATTGAACTATACATCTCTGGACGAGGTCAAACGTCCAGGTTGCCCAATACACCCCGATGCATATTTGTGCCAGTAACCACTGCCACAACGAGGAAGGTGTGTGCGTAGTTCATGCGACTCCTTTTGGTCGGTCGGGAATTACAGTTTTTAGCTCATTTCCCTAGGTGAACTCTCAGTGATTCAGCACCCCCATTATAGCCCCAGATGTTTCATTTTAGTCATCTTACATGTGTGACAAAACAACTACGCCTCTATTAACTGGTGGCATCTTAGGCTGTAGCCAGTTGCTACCAGCGGTGTTTAAAACACTAGCGGGCATGCTTATGGAACCACTGATCCGGTTCTTCAACGCAAAACTGGAGGAAAGACGTCTCCCTCGTGATTGTTTGGTGTCAACTGTCACTCTAATCTACAAAGGGGGAAATAGGAAAGACTGCGCGAACTAAAGGCCCGTTAATTCGAATTTAGTGGTGTTACAAACCATGCAGCACATCCTACGGAACAGAATAATCCGACACTGGGAGGAAATCAAGCGGCTGAAGGCACACCAGCACGGCTTCATGGGAAGACGCTCGTGCCTCACCAACCTATTTTGTTTCCTTGACGAGATAACACATGGGATTGACCGGGGATACCGAAGAGAGGTCTGCTACCTAGACTTTCAAGAGGCCTTTGGTTCGGTCAACTGCAGGTTTATGATGCGAAAGCTTCAGCGGTTTCATCTGATTCCGAAGACAAAACAACGGATATCCAAATGGTAGAAGCTTTCGGGTGAAGATTGAAAGGGAAGTATCCCACAAAAGGGTTCGACGGGGTCGATGCTGGGTCCTCTCCTGTTCCTACTGCGTATTAGTGCCTTTGTGGAGCGGTTGGATAATTCTTGTTTTCTATACGATGACGATTTAAAGCTGAGAGGAAGTCCTGATTCTGAGGCCATCCAGAGGGATCTAAGCGAGATTTATAAATGGGCTGTGCTATGGGACTCACCGCTAACACTCATTAATCAGTAGGAAGAAAGGCAGAATGAATATCTTGGCCCACCAGGCACAGATGGAAAACTCGAGGTTGTGAGGGAAGTCAAGGATATTGGTATAAAGGTTCAGGTCGACTTCAAAAGTGATGCATAAGGTCAACAAGCGGAAAAAATGGAGAGAGCGGTAAGCTGTAGAAGGCCGGAGATTGTACTGCCACTGTACGAGACCTTTATGCATGCCCATGTGCATCGAGGCTCGGGAGTATAAAAGTCTTCGAGAAGACTCAGTGACTCTGTATTAGATGGCTCTCAAAAATAATTAACTTTATTTATGAGAACAGGCTGAAGAGACAGAATGGTTTCTCTCGAGGAATTTCTCTTTAATTAGAGCTAAAGATTGAGGAACAATTTCTGTGAGTATACAGCCATTAACCCTGAACACTATCCCTCAAAGTGAAGAAGATCACGCGACTAGGTAAAGATATTTTTATGGCAGTAAAGCTTTGCCAGTTAGCAACTCATAAAACCCGTTCTAGGATGACGTAGATCGCCAAACATAAATGGAAAGTGTGTTCAATTTAATATACTAGCCATATCTTACGTCACGAGAAACGGAATAGTGGACAAATATTGCAGCGTCAGTGAATAATTTAAGTTATGCAAATCTATTTAAACTTTTATTCTAGTGGTAAATGAAAGTGAGATTTAATCCCGAAGAAGGATTAGAAACAGGCCTTTCTAATAATACACAATCAGATAGAATAATGTCCCTCATTACTAAATTGATATAAGCTTCTCTTAGCCAGATCTTAGTGGTTTTAGCTTTAAACAATCCCGGTTACCACTTTAAGAGAATCAGCTGAAATTGGTAATTTTCTAAAATAAACTGAACTGAAGGGTATTTTCAGGTCAGGTCAGATCACATGACTAGCGGCTGATGTCAAACGAGCGTCCAGTTTCTTGCGCGATTGAACTCCAGTATTCTCGATACGCTTTGACTTGTAAATTTCTAGCTTCATCTATAGGGCTTATCTTTAGTGGGATTCAGTAGGGGCGAGTTCAACTTTTACTAGGAAAAAACTAGTATGGACAGGTATAAAAAGATAGGCTCGAGTCCATCACTCTTGCCTACCCATGAGTAACTACGTCCAAACTTCCACACCACTTGTTCATACTCCTAGACGTGCATACACCAGACACATACAGACATGAATACTTTCAGTAATACACACATCCATATCAATGCGCCACACATGCATACATGCATGTGCACGCATTATTATGCTGGTAAACATCTCTATTGGTCCCAGAAGAGAAAAAACACCACCGGTGTCTCTGAGGGCTTGATGAACGCTCGGGTAGGGGAATGCACCCTCTGACTATACTTTTGGTACGCCATAAGCAGAGTAAGGCTAATCCAAACGAGCCTCGAAATACACTGCGTATCCCTAACGCTGAGACCGAAAGTCGGTGGAAGTGGACTAGCTTTATCTCTAGAGATGCTTAGAAGTTGAACCGTCAGAAGTGCGTTTTGAGGCAATGTTGTGTGGGCTAACATTGATCACTCTCTTGGTTCTAAGTTTTCTCGGGCATCAGGGTACAAATCTGGCTTTAGTAGGCTAAATCAGATGGATGTTTGTAGAGCGGTATTCATGAAAATGTTCTCGCAACAAACTTTGAAGGAGTCATTTATACTTGATCGTCACTTATCAAAGTGCAATACAAAAATAGATTGAAAGATAGAAATCAACATAGGAACCGGGCAGCCCTCGGTCGAGAGAGATTTTCCTTACTTGAGCTAGGAGAGTAAATTTACCCCATTGGTATTGCGCTCAGCATTGAGAATGTATTTCAGTCATCAAGGTTAGTGTACAAATACATATGTATCCTTTTAGGGGAAGCGTAGCGGATGTGTTGGCATTTACCCAAATGTACCACTATTTGTGGCTCATTCTGTGTTTGCAAAGCTGGTCATTGACTGCGTGCCACCATTATCACCTGTGACCCATATAATTTAGTATAAGCCTTAATTTACCAACGATAGAATATAGCGAAACCTAGCCCTCTCAGTTGGGGGTATTGATCTACTTTGGTTCTTCCTGTACAAGTTAGTCAGTAAATATGTAGGAGTTCTTGATGAATCGACAAGTGAATAGAAAGGTCAATATGTGCAGAGAACAAGTTAAAATGGCGGTAACGTGTAAAACAACTATTTCTATCCTCTATGAAACCATAAATCCAGTTTTATAGTCCACTTGTATTCAAGTAATTGACCCTCAGTTTTTTCCCCCTGAGCTCAATACTTGCCGATCCTGTGTAGTAGTGGTTTTGCGGTTGTCGGACACCCGAGCAGTCCTGCGTCCGTCTATCAGAGACATCTGAGTTGTTTTCTGTTAGGCAAAATATATGAACATATACATGCATGCATGCATGCTTACAGCATCATTAACCAGTCATCGACTGGGGACTATTGTTATCCCATTTATCTGCCATTTTCCCGTGTTTAACTGTTTCTTCATCTTTCCACTTTTTTCTATATCCCAAACCACCTGCTCCCCATGTTTTTATTGTTATTATTGGCGTACCGTTGATACTGTGCTTGTCTACAATCCGGTGTTATATATATATATGTATACATATATATATTATGGCTTCTGGGAGCAGTTCTATCTACATTGCATCTAGTTGGCCCTTGAAATCTTTAGCTGAGGCGGCTGAAAAAACTGAGTATGGTAACTTATTCCAGGGATTTATTACCATATGAGAGAAGAAAGTCAGCCGGATATTCCTGAGCGCTCTCGGTTTCTCAATTTTTAGTTTATTCCTTTTGTATCACAACCCCCTCTCGATATTAATGTTATTACTTTTTTGGCGTGGGCACCATGCTTGTCCGCAAGCCGGTGTTAAATATATATATCATTCCTTCGCAAAGCGAGGTTTTTATTCCTCAATAGCAGTGCCCGTACTGGATAAGCCCCTTATTTTCTTGAAGACTTCTACGAGGTCACTCCTCAGTCTTCTTCTGACCAAAGACAATAGGTTAAATGCTATTAGTCCACCGGGGTCAAACAAAACGTGACAAAACAATCTTAGATTGAAGCTTCTTTAAATAGACCGCCTTACGAGAAATTTAAATAGAATACATCCTAGTTGCCTTATTAACGAACTAGATCAAAGGCTACAGTCTCCGTGCTTCGTGTATGCCAACGATGCCAAACTTGTAGCTAGACCAACCGGGGATGTCATAGAGCAACATTCAAACACTCTCTGTAACTGGTCCATGGCCTGGAGCCTACCACTAACTTCCGGTAAGTGCAAACACTTATTGTCTGACGGTTTTAATGTGGTACGTTACCTCAACCCCGATAACCCTCAGGTAATTCAGTGCACAGAGACTATTAGAGAATAGGGGTGATTATGCACCAGTCTTTCAAGCAGTCACCACAATGTGCTGAGGCGGCTAGGAAGGCTTGGAGGGCACTGTTCCAGTTGCGATGCACCGTTGCATCTAGGGACTCGGTCTTCCTGCTTCCTCTGTACAAGGCGTTCGTCCGTCTTCACCTAGAGTATGGAGTACATGTATGGGTCCCAACTAAAATTGGAGACGTGAAGACCCTTGAAAAGACACATATTGGATTCACCAAATTTCTCCCAGGTTTTCAAGGGTTGACGTACACCCAGAGGCTAAAGAGGCTGGGACTTTCCTCCCTCAAAGAGAGAAGGTTGAAGGAGGATCTCATCGAGGTCTTCAAGCTCCTTAAAGGAGTCAACAGCATTGGATCCCCCTTATTCAATATGGATAACAACCTTTCCCTTAAGAGTAACGGACTGAAATTGAATGAACCCAGAGCTCTGAAAAGCATAAGGGTGAACGTTTTCTCCCACAGGTTGGTAAACGCATGAAGCAAACTGCCATCAAAGGTAGTTTCAGCCCAGACTGTAATGCAGTTCAAGGCCAGACTGGACAATACCTGATCTGCTCTGTTCCTCGACCTTAACTTATTTCTGAGACCTTGCATTTTTCTCCAACCATTTCTTACTCATTCTTACTAGAGGCTCCCTCTCTTTCCTTTGTTTCCGTAACACAACTTCATCCTTATACTTCCGCTTTCTTCTGCCTTTGCCTAGCAGTGCGTAACAGTGCTGGATATAGGCAAATTATCCGTTATTAATCGTGACTTGACTGCTCAAAACAGAATGGATCCCGATATTGTACTCTGTAATCCGTAGACCTGGCAACCATCCTTGGTGAACTGAAGTATTGGAATACCGGAAGGTTGAAGCAGGGCGGGAAATTCGCGCTCACTCGCGCAAGAAACTGGACACTCGTTGACACCAAACGCTAGTCCTGTGAACTGAGAGGACCTGGTGCGATACCCTACCATCACAACTACTAGGCAGTATTCTAGTGGTAAATTTAATGTACTATACACGGTACGTAATCAATATATAATATTCGTGACATATGTAGTAACATTCTTTTCATTTTCTATCGCCATTCCCGTGATCAATGTTCAGACCCTATTTTTGTTTTATTGTCCTCCTTTTCGAGAACTCTTATGACCTCGACCCTGACACTTTTTCCGGTGAGTTGTATCGTGCGCTTGCTCTCTGTACAATTTCCGCTGCAGGTCACATACACTTCATACGCTCGTACTCGACTTCTTCCTCACTTCGTGCTTGCCTGGGAAAACCTCATCCTAAGCCCGAACGATTGAATACGTAGGCACGTCATAGCTTCAGACCTACTTTTGGTGCTAAACATATATAAGCGTTCTATAGCCACTCAAGTGTCTGCATATATAAATATATATATATATATGTATATATATATATATAATCATTATACGTAGTGCTGTACACGTTACATAATTACAGTACTGCAAATTTAGATTTACAGTAAAACAGTGAAAATTTGAATTTGATCTTATGAATACAGCTTCAAAGTTGTAATCTTTAAATTTAATTTACTTCGCAATCTTACGATTGCCAAGTAGAACTCACAGACTTGAGCGCTTTGGATTCTTCAATCAAATCTTCGGTATCTCTCGAATCTAGAATATTGAAAACTGAATGCTTCTTTTCATCCAACATTGTCTGTCTTAATGAAATCAGAATCGAAATGCGATATTTCAAATATCCTACTTTGAAACATTTTGTGCCTTCTTGGATCTTTTCTTGGTGGATGTAATTGATGCTTTTTTGCTTGTTTTACTCCATCCAAAATGACTTTGATTTATATCCATTTCTATAGTATGAACCCATTGAGAAACAATCGCGTAACCATTGTTTGGAAACGCGCTGATAAAAGCATA